TAGGGAATTCAATTTAGTTACAATGTTTCTGGTTGGATCTTCTAAGGGCACTTTCCAGAGACACAATATGGTATCTATAATGTGGTGAGCAAAACTGTTAACCAGTTGGAACACAAAATTGTTTTCTAAATGAAGCCTTACCACACATTGAACAGTTTTAACATAACATCCTTCATTCTAAATTCTATTCTTTAAACTAAATTTCCTGAAATTTTGTCTTTTTAATTGCTTCCTCGCATCGCCTAGTAGAAGTAAATGATAGGTTCAAATAAACACCTAAATCTTTTTAATTAAAGCAATTTATAATAGTTTGGGTAACTTAAGCAGCACGCTTGTTTAGTTATGCAATACTGAACCTTTTGTTCACAGTGTCGTGAAGGTGACTATTTGATCATGTTTTTTAATTGCTCATAACCATTCATGTCTCAATCTGTTGCATCCTTTCCCTGCCTTCGTAAGTAATAAAATGTAAAATACAGCTGCTCCTACATCCATCCCTTTTCTCACTGCTTTCTCCATCACAGGGTTCCAGCAAGCAATGGGCGCAAGGCAGGATACATTCTGGACAGGCAGCCAGCCCATCGCAGGGGGCACACAGACACAAACATGCACACACTCACACCAACACCGCCAGAAGCCACTTAACCTACCAGTATGTCTTTGGAATGTGGGAGGAAACCCACACAAACACAGTGAGTACAACACTGAAATTTACAATGTGGTCTCACACTGCCCTTTGCATTGTATGAATTAATTAAGATTTTTTGCTATGTCCGCTACAGCTATATAGTGATATCTCTATATCTTGCACTGTATTTTTGCTTCAATATAAATGTGATCATTTTAGGTTTGTCGGTAATTTAGGCCACTGCTTCATATTACACTGCATATGATTTATAACTGCCCCTAATTTCATGAGTCACTAACAATTCATATTTTTATTGTTCAATTTAAACTTGGGGAGAACATACAAACCCCATGCAGATATCACCCCTAGAATTGAACCCAAGGCCCCTGAATTGCAAGGCAGTAATGCTAACCACTGCGCCACTATGCTGCCCTGCTGCTCATTTTTAAGCGCTTTTATAGTTTGGCTTCTGACTACATCAGCAGACTCTCTGCCCACATATTGTTCGTACTTTTTGAGCTTCGGCCATCTTCCAGATTCTAAAACTGGGCCTTAGGGAAATTCTGTTTCTCCAGTGCTGTGAAATGATCTCTCACCCCATATGTGTTCTTGGAAGTTAGTCAACACTTTCAAATCCTGTCTTAAAATGTTTTATACAATAGCTTTTAATTCTGTGCAATCCACTGCTTCAAATTGCATTTTCATATTTTTCCAAAGTGTTTCCTTTTCCTTTCATTTTATTGCTGAAGTTGAAATTATGTGGCACTTTTTTAAATATTAGGTAATTAATGAATCCAGGGATCATAGAAAACCATTTATGATATTGTTCTCTCCATCCTCCCTGTACTCTGTGTTTTTAAACTTGCTAACAATACTGTACAGTAGATGCACTTAAAGATGGCACCTACAAAGCACTTCCTGTACATGTAGGCCTCTATAGACAGTCTGTCAGGAAACAGAAACTATTCAAGATCTGTCTATCCTGCCTTGTTTCTGTCATGATGTCTCACATAATAAAATAAAACTACTGTGGTGGAAACAGCCTAATCACTCAACTATTACTAAAAGTAGCTGGTGTAAAGCAATGATTCATATATAAACCTTGACTTCAATTCTCCTAGGTGACTTAAAAATGTCTTAGCACCACTCCTGTGTCGGGAGTCCAAGAATTAATATATTTAAAAATGAACAGACTACTTCTGGGTATTGTCTATCAAACTGTAGTCACATTAATCAGATTTCCAGTCACTTGTGAATTTCCTGCTTTTCAAAGTAGCACAGGTCAGTTTCTGTAAATAGAATCAGGCCAAATTAGGCAAAAGGACAAATCTCTAAATGTTGTATGGGTTATGTTGTATAGTGAATGATTTTCAGATCTGCTATTGTAAACTCAATTGTATTAATACACAGCCTGCAAATACCCTGTCTGCTCATATGACTCATGTGACTCATATAAATCACTTGATGTCATTAATTCCATAGAATCCCCTGGAAAACCACATATACAACAGTTAATGTTCCTGTTAATACAATAAAAATAAAAAAGTCATGCCAAGATTATAAAAAAGGATATTTATTAATTAATCAGGTATAAAAATCGAAATTTAATTCCCAGGTAAGGAAAGCAAATTCAATGAGGAGTTATATTTTTATTTCAAAATGCCAGAATATGCCATAGTTGGCCAATATAGAATAAGCAGAGGTTAATTTAATGCTGAAAAGTAAAAAAGAACAGCACAAAATACTGTTACAAGAAAATATTCATGACAGTTTGGCTGCTTTTACTTAATGCAGCAGAAAAAAACAAAATAATAAGCAGAGGGGTCTGTGCGTTTCTTTTTTGTGATATATACATTAGAGCATGAAATGTCAAGAATGTGATTTATACAACATGTCATTTACCACAAGCCTTCTGTCACATTCAGTTATTGATTTAAACAAGTATGATTTTAAAGACTGGATGTGCTTATGAGTAAGTACTGCTCAGGGAATTTTACCTGGTTGTGTTTACGTACAGTAATTGTGGTTTTAATAGTAAATATATCCAGCTGTGTGCTTTTCAAGACATATATTTTAGCCTTCAACTGTGAAGGCCAGGGCCAAGTTAACATGTGGAGAAAGTCTATTACCGTTAATATCTAATAGCTTTATTTCAAAATGTAAGTGATACCAGAGACATTGTTCCGCTAATGATAGCTAAATTAAAGGTTTTAGTTTTGTCTCTGAAAGCTCAATGTCTGCTTGTGCCTTCGAGATCAGAATGAAACAGGCTGTCCATTCTAACCTGAAGATGCACGCTTGCTGACATTACTACCTGAACACCAGAGAAATTGGCCAGGTACCGGCTGCAGATGGAACTGATCCTTGAAAGAAGGCAAAGTCAGCTCTCAGGGCAGATCCAGCCAGCGTGGCTGCCCGCCTTGTAGGATTACAGACTGGAAGTTTAAAAACTTGCCACTGATCCGGTGCTCGGCAAAAACAACAGGGTGCAGATAGTCTGAATCCTGCCTGAAAGATTCCCCATCTCTCCCGAACCTGCTTTGCCTGAGTGTCTTTCTGACACACAGGTTAGTAATGCTAAGAGCAGTACCCAGGTCAAAAGAAAGCTCAATGACAGAGCTCCGGATCAGTGGCAGAGCACTGATTATATATATCCTCCATATATATAATGCATATACTGTACAGTATATAATGGAGGAATGTGGTTGAGATAGACGGCCCAAGCAAGTCTGAACAGCCACAAGAGATGTTTGATCTCTGGTTACCTGGGCATAACAAATAAGAGTTTAACCTTTTGCAATTAACAATAACCCAATTGAAATACATGGGCAAAAATGACAACATTTTATAAGAACATGCAAAATACTTTCATCAACTGGTACTTTTAAATATTATTATGTATATAAAATTGTCATAAATAACGCAAGTAGAACCCACTATTCCAAGATATTGGCATACTTCACCAAATCCATTTTAGCTGTGCAAAAATATACTCACATGAGCAAATACAGCAGCATACACAGAATTTACAGTGGTAGTGAGAAATACAAAATTGGTTTTGTGCTCAGGTGTTGTGTATACACTCATTCAAAGAAAGCAACATTCCAGATTCAAACTCTATCATAATTTTTGGATTTAAAAATGGAAATGTTTGGTTTGTTAGGGTACTGAGAGATGTCAGCATTTATGTCACAGTTCCATAATTCTTGACAAAGCCCGAAGAATATACACTTTAAACTTTTTAACGCAATGCAGATTTCCAAGGGCATTTTTATGTTCTATGACTTCGAAAATATTTTTTTCATACAGCATAGTTGGAAAAGAACACGTCATTCTCTGACAAACAATGTGCCTGAGCTTGTTGGACAAACATCACAAAAAAACCCAGGCCAGCAGACTAGCATCAAGAGGGCTGTCAACCACATAAAATCTAACAAGTCTGTGTAATGGCCCAGTTTCCTGTCCCAACAGCAGTAGTGCTGTTCAGAGCTCAGTGTGCGGGTGTGGAGCTGTACTACCTGACTGGGGTGGGGAAGGTCCCACTTTGCCCTCCAAATCTTTCTCCTCCACCTCTTGAAACATGTCCTTTGATTTGGGGGTCCTCTGAGTTGCAAAACCTGGCACCTCCTTGTCCATGATCGCCAGAAAGTCATAGAAGGGCACAGGGGGGGCCCACTTCTCATCTGCTATTACCCCTGTAGAATAGAAATGAAGACATTTCAAATACTTTTTCCTTACCCATGGTTAGCACCACAAAGGTTTTGCATATCAACACTATAAGAATAACAACAATTCCTTTCATTTATATAGCACTTTTCTGGACACTCCACTCAAAGCACTTTACAGGTAATGGGGACTCCCCTCCACCACCACCAATATGTAGCCCCACCTGGATGATGCGACGACAGCCATAGTGCGCACATAGATAGCTCACCACACATCAACTATCAGTGGGGAGGAGAACAGAGTGATTGAAGTCAATTCATAGATGGGGATTATTAGGAGGGCATGATTGGTAATGGCCAATGGGAAATTTGGCCAGGACATCGGGGTTACACCTTTTCTCTTTTTGAAAGACAACCTGGGGTTTTTAAAGACTACAGAGAGTCAAGACCTTGGTTTTATGTGTCATCCAAAGGAGGGCGCCTTTTTACAGTATAGTGTCCCTGTCACTATTAGGGGGCATTAAGACCCACACAGACCGCAGGGTGAGCGCCCCCTACTTGCCCCTCTAACACCTCTTCCAGTAGTAACCTTAGTTTTTCCCAGGAGTTCTCCCATTCAGGTGCTGACCAGACTCACACCTGCTTAGATTTAGTGGGTTGCCTGTTGTGAGTTGCTGGGTAATATGCCTGCTGGTCCTTCTTCTTTCCCTCAATGAATGCCCTTGTTGTCAAACTTAGCCATGAGCACTGGGGTATGCTGGAGGCTGTCCAGCATGCAGTGTGCTGGGGATTGTTTGAGTGACAATTTATACACAAAATCTTCAACATCTGGGTTAAAGCAGAGCCTAACAGCAACATTGTAACATTTCACAATTGAAAGAAAACAGAAAATGGGTGAAATTCTAAGGTGTTTAAGGCTAATGAGCGCTTTGAGAAGCCACCTTTAAAGGCACTATATAAAATAAAGTTTATTATTATTATTATTATTATTATTATTATTACTAATGAAACGGTAGATAGAAGAACATATCCAAATAAGGTTCAGTACACAAATATACTTCTGCTTTTTACATCTGACCTCTGTGGACTACACTTTTGGGTAGTATTAACCACTGTACTAAATGTCAAAGGAGAATCGTCAAACCACAAATTTCTCAAGCAATACCTGTGGGTCGTCCTATCATCAGATATTCAAAACATGTACAAAGTATCACGAAAAAGAAAAACACATTCATTCCTGAACTAACATTCATAGAGACAACCAGACTTCTCCAAGGTGAATGAGAATCCTTAAGTAAGATAAAAGAAGCAACTTTGATAATATATGGCGTGCTGAAAGACTTCCATTTACTGAACTTAAAAAGGAAACAGTCTTCCAAAAAATCCCCAAATCAATAGCAGGCAGCACACCTCTGACATTTCATCTCAAGGAAACTGAAACAAGCCCAGTGAATCCAGAGCATGCTGTAAATGCGATAAGAAAATTACAAATGAGAAGAGCCAGGGTATCACATTCAGACAGACTGTTCCAGACATCTACTGCCCTTTGTGTGAAAGGGCCTGTTCTGAGTTTTAAATGCACTTCCTCATACTTTTCTCTGGTTTATGTTTCATTTTCCATTCGATCAAGTCTATAGGGTAGTCTTTGAGGATTCTTAATAGTTTATTAAGTCTCTTGTCTTAAAGATTACAAAGGTTCAGAAGTACAGTAGCTACTTCAAACAAATTTCCTTTTCTTTGTATTTCTGATAACATCTTGTTACACTCTGCTCTTGTCTATATTAACTGCCATCTGCCATGTGTTTGCCTAATTCCATAACTCATAATTACACACAGTTTTTCTAGGGTTTAATTACAAGATTTAAATTGAGACAAAAATCCATGAACCACAGAGAACAGATGACAGGTGATTTAAAACTTTTTCTCCATTAGAGCCCATACACAACAATCATCGTTATGACCTCATCCAGAGTGGATAGAAAACCTGCAGATTTCAGAAATGTACAGTGATGTTTTTTAGCAGTATATTAGAAAATATTTGAAGCTTAAATGAAACTAACAACATCTGCAGTCACCATATTGTCAATTTCTCCTTTTGCAAAAAACAGAGATTGAGGTATACTATTAAATAACAATGGGGTTAAGCTGAAAAGTTATTAACAACAAAGTTATATATAAAATATACATATATAGTCATACACTTTGTAATAAACATAGTATTTTGTCAACAGTGTTAAAAGTGGCTATACTTTTTCAGAGGCTGAGAATTTCCTGTGCTTCAGAATCCAAGTAGTAGAAGCTGCAATCAAAGCACTAATAACAGTAAACAGGGTAAAGGCATTGGCACATACAAGGAGGCAATAGGTTGCTTCCGTGTTCTTACTGGTTCCAGAGGTAATCATGGGAACTTGCTTACAAAAGTTCCTGACATCTGGACCCACAGTTTGCCAAAAACAAAACTGGAGACACAGACAGATTTAGTACTGGTAATTTAAAAAATCAGCCAATGCAGCTCCATTTCAAAATAACAACGATGGGAGACCTAGAATAAATGTGATTCTGTAGAAAATATTGTCTTAACTGGATAAAAGTATTTGTTTTGTCCTCTAAAGAAAACGTTTTTTTTAGTGAATAATGAATCATGTTCTCACAAGCAACACAACAGTATTATTCAGACACGGCTTTACTTTCAGTCATTCCAAAGAGGGAGGAAAAAAACGTATTTAACCTTCTTTTTAAGAGGAATTGAGGATCACAACCAGAGTAAAAGGCTGCTAAGCCAATATGAAAAAGACAATTGAAAAGGGTTGAGATTGAATGTGTACTATCAGCAGAACAAAATGGATACTGAAGTAAATTAAGAAGATGAAACAGGCTAATGATTAGAGAATATGCTGGAAGAAATAAAAAAGTGACTCCATCATCCATTTCCATATAAACGTTGCGTCAGAAAAACAAAACTGAAAAACCCCTGGGGCCCCAAAGAATGGCAGGGAGAATTGGCATTGAGTTCTTTTCTTGTTTAGAACACAATGAGGGCTGCCATTTGTATAGGAAGCACATGGCAGACGCATCCTCCCTTTAAAGGGAAGGTTTAAATCAGCTAGGGCTGGGAACCATTTTTGCATAAATACTCAGAAAAAATATGTGGGTCTTTGAGAAACTGATACAATCAAGTACTTTAAGACAAAACCAAGGAAACGACTTGGCATTAAACTTATTAAATGTGTATACTTTGATGTAAAACTAAATAAAAAATGTGAAACTGCATTTAAACTAGAAGCAGGCAAATGGACTCAACAGAAGATCAGTCCATTCATACTGGTCCAGACCTAAAATTCAGTGAACGAGAAAATTAAGGTTGAAGGAAGAATGTAAAGTTGTACAGAATCTAACATAACGCCAGGAAATACAGCCACGGGAAAATTGATTTTTAAACACAAAAAGATCTTTTTAATTATTTCCTGTCATGTTTTAATGACAAAAACACTTAAAAAGAACTCTACAGTTCCCATTTTCCTTTTTTGGGCAGTTTGCCTACAGCAAAACAGTTGGGGTTCATTAAAGGAAAACAAAACCTTGAATTTAATTACATCAAGGAAATGAGAAACAGCATTTGACACTATTTGGTACAAAACCAACAAGGTAAGAAGAGCTCTTGTATAAACCAGGCATTAATAATGGTAAAAAAAAATAATTAACTATATCATGATTGCATATATGTTTTTCTTCACAAATTTCTTAATGCACTTGGTTGAAAACTGTGCAGCTGATAAACCCAAAACAATTTCACCAGGTTCCAACCAGCAAATTATTAGTTTAATTAAGAGTTTGTTAAGCCCGTCACTCCTGAGGACAGGAGCAGGGGGCTTTTTTCAGGGTACTCCAGGAGCTGGTCGAACATCACAGTAAGTGGGGAAAGAGGTATGCGCGCTAACTGGAGAGGCTGCTGGGATGCTGTCGAGCAGCGCTCTTCCAGTCTGTGGTCATGCAGGAGGGGGTCAAAGCCGGAAAAGTCAAGCAAAATACTGTCCAAAGCACCAAGGGGAATTCAAGAGATTATACGGGGTACGCCAGGCATAAGTTAGAGCCAGAGCCCTAACAGAGCTCTGAGCACAGTATGACCTGACCTTAAGTTGGCTGCCCACCTGACGGTGAAGTGAAGGAAACAGATGCACAGGTGACCAGGCTTTCTGGCGTCGGTGGCTACCGACACTGAAAGGAGAGTGGAGGTTTGGCCAGTTACGATGGTAACCTGTGCCCACTCCACAGTGATGGAAGAAAGAGATTTCAATTAAGAAACTTTAAGAAACAATTAGAAAAAAATGCTAGAATGTTCTACAACACTGTCTTTTTTTAAGGCTTCCAGCCAGAAAGCAGATAGAGACTGTTAAGAGTTTTTTTCCCATCTGTTACGACATAGCAAGCAAGTGGAGAAAGCCTGAAGGCTCAGAAAAAGACAGTGAGACGGAGACAGCTGGGGACAGCCAAAGCAGATCGAATTGTGAAGGCAGGCGGAGATTGGATGGACTGATCTGAGACTGTAGGTGAGGGCAGCTATCAGGGCTGATCAGGACAGAGAGGCTGGACCGCTGCGCAGGGTTGTAAGGTGGTGAGGTTCATTGCTACTGGTCCAGTGCTTGGCTGGACTGACAGGGCGCTGACAGACAGAGTAGGTTAAAGACAGAGAAATACTCGGGCTGACTTCGGGCTGATTGTCCTTCAGAGAACTGGGCTCATTGTGCTGTGAGCACTACCAAGGTTAAAAGGTAGCTCAATGACAGAGCACCAGATCAATGGTAGAGTACGGTTTAATTTTTATGAGCTGATGGAATAAGCGCCCATTATTTGGAGGCTGCACAGCCCTGGGAGGTGTTTGACCCCTCTTGCGAATATGTTCAGTTTCCGTGGAGACTGAGGGTTGTGAGCTCTGACTTGCCCAGGTGTAACACTTTCAGAATGTATGCAGTCAATCATTAAACTCATTAAAGTCATTAAGCTCCAGTGGAGGCAGCTCACATCCTAGGGAC